GGGAAGGTGTGTAAGTGTTAGTCGTGTGGGGATGCCCCCTCACGGGGGCGTACGTGTCTTTTGGTGTATTTGTCTGTCTGGTATATTGTTTGTCGGGGGTCGCAATTTTAAAGAAATGTATTCTAAAGTAATGCAAATAACTGATAAATAAGTAAAAACTTACCTGGGCATAACCCCGGCACAGGTGCTGTAACAAAGATGCCGACGGCGTCTATGCTTAAGCCGGGGATTAGGTCGGTGATTAAAAGGAAAGAAAGGGATTCTTTCCAGGTAGCCTTAATAAAGGCAGGTAGAATTTGCTCCTTGCACTACACTTTCACAAAACACGTGTGCTCTGGTCGGCTGCCCGCTAGGAACGTATTGAACCAATATTAAATACCCTTTCTAAATAACGTAAAAATGATGTTTTTCCAAATATGTACTTTGTTTTTCTTTATTTGTGTAAAAATTTAATCACATTTTTATATATTTCCACAGAATTACACACAATGATACAACAGAAGTTCTTTCAAGCTGTGGATGAGGTGGGGACAGTTGACTTTTTAAAAGGACATAATTGTATGAACAGTTTGGTCACAAACACTAGTATGTAACCAGTAATACGTTTAGCTTAATTTAAAAAAGGTTAGTTCTTATTTTAAAACGTTATTAATACAAAATTCTAAAAACTGCTGGAACAGAATATTGTGTATAAGTATATAATGAGACAGAAAGGTCTTACCATTTGTTCATGAAAGCATTTTGGTGTTCACTGCAAGTGCATCTGAAAGAAAAATCACAAGATTTTGTAGACATATCCATTATTTGAAATTTTTCTTATGTCACCAAGAAAAGATACCTATTGTATATGTTCATCGTCACTTGTAAAATTTGTAGCGCTAAAGTTAGCTGTGTTCGTTTAATGACACGCGTTAGCGTTAGCACAAAGGTGTATGCACCTCAGAGCAATAGGTCCTCTGAGGTTTGCACATTTGCCCAACAAAACATACGTTTGCACTATTGTAACTTAGATTTTAACAAAATTTTGTGACAAACAAAATCACTGGCTACATTCAGTCCACAAACACATTCTATGCCACAGAATTGACGAGTTCTAGACTTCATTAAAAAGGAAAACATAAGCCGATGATTTTACATGTAAATTTCACTATTGAACATTATAGATTAAAGTAATCGCGCTATTGCGCTTACTAATGAAATATAGAAAATGATGAAAAAAACGACGTTGGTCCTTGGATCATACAGCCTTCGATTAGTTATCGTTATTTCCAGGTCAATAAGGCATTGTAACATCATTTAATGCTACCGACAACACTACCTGTTTCTCCCCCAGACCTGACGAAATACACAACATTATACTAAAACGGGCTTGCCTCATATCAAAAAACCATTGCTCCACTGGCCGCGGAAAACCTCCTCGGTGATACCCTTTCCTCGCACCGGCCCGCGAGTTTCAACCGCAGCTAACCTACGCCTCCACGGCGTGGGGTCACGCGGCAAAAAGCCACTTAAAGTCATTACAGGCTTTGGAAAACATAGCCCTCCGCACGGCCACCGACGCGCCCTGGTACGTAAGAAACACTGACATACTACGAGACTTACAAACGCTACACAGACAATAAGACATAACGCGGAGAAACGGCTTGACGTAGCCCCCAGACATGACAATCCCCTCCTCAGGCAAGCCGTTGACTACGTACCCGACGTGACCGACAAACACAAAAGACCTAGACACCAACTTTTTGACCCTGGGTGACCACCCCAACGACCCCCCCCCCCTGCCCGCTAACCTTTTCTGTTTCAGAGACAGCCAGGATCAAGAAACGAAGACAACGACACACACACACACATACACACCCCCCATACCCTCCTTACCCCTCCCCTCCCGCGCTAGCCTAAGGGCCACCTTAGCAAAGCGCATCCCAGGCTGCATAGTCGCACTACCCTACCCAACCATACCACACATAAACATAACACTACCCCCGCGGTTTACACAGACGAGCCGGCGAAGCAAGAAGAGCGCCAGAAGAAAGGGCCCTAGCCGGCGGGGCCCAGCCAGGACAAAAGGAGGTCCCACAAAGCGCCTACACCGGCCGCATTTGCGGTCGGGGTAGACGACGGATGGGGCCCACCTACGAAGGCTGTCCAGGCCTACACGAGATGAGGCAGGATAAAGAGGGATAATCCCCCTCGATCCCAAATCATTGAGGCCAATTTCTAGCCATTTAATAATGGCGCGCGCGCGGCCCGCGAGTCTTCGACGCGTGCATTCACTAGTTACAAGCTATTTCCAAAAATCCACTCCTTATGACCACTACTCCCCGGGGGGGCTAGACAAGCCGGCGATGAAAGAAAAATTAAGACACGAAAAGCGCCAGAAGAGGCTCTCTTGTAGGCAGGGGCCAGTCAGGGCAAGAGGAGGTCCCGAAAAGTGCCTACACCGGCCATGCTTGTGGTCAAGGTAGACGATGGCCCATCTTCACGAGGCTGCCCAGGCCCACAGAGATAAGGTAGGATAAAGAAGGATAGTCCCCCTCGGTTCCAAATTATCGAGGCCACGTTTAACGCCAAAAAAACGGCGCGCACCCAGATATATCGTTAAAAAGGGACTTTTAAATAGTAGGTCGCTAATACAGAAGAAGAAGAAGTATTGGCATTAATGGCATTGGTAATAATAAATGTCAAATGTCATATGCTTATGTCAAATTGTCAAACTAAAATAAATTATTAATGTTTACTTGTTAATTAAACAGACATACATTTCTATAGTACTTATTGAAGGTACAAAATAGTAGAGTACAAAATATATAGGACCTTTTTAGGTAAGAGGAAATATTAAGTATTAAGTAGAATACTTGCTTACCCTGAATGTTCTTGCAAATTTGGTATTTTTACTTCATTAAATAATGCCATATACTCTAAAAAATGTATATATTTTCAGTTAAAAAACATGTCCTCAGAAAATGGAGAACAAAAACCAACTATACCAGCAAAATCATCAATGGAAATTTTATCAGAGCTTTTCAGTACATTTCATGCAGAACCACCTCTGATAATAAAAAAAGAAAAACCAGAAGAGTCGAATAGAAAACATAAAAAAAGCAAGAAAAAACATAAACACAAAGATAAAAAACATAAGAAAAAAGAAAAAAAGAAAAAGAAAAGTAGTAGTTCTTCATCTGAAGATTCTGAAGTTGATTTAGCAAAAATATTGATAAAACAGGAAAAGGATGCATCAGAGAAAAAAATTAAAATAGAAGGTACTGAGTTAGCATTCGATGTAAAATTAAAAAACCTGAAGAAAGAGCAGGATGTTGAAGATGAATCGGAGGATTCGAATGATGCTGAAGTAAATGTCAGAGCTAGAAAGAATAAAGTAGCTATCAAAAGTTTGAAACTAAACACAATTTTCCAGTCGGCTATAAAAGAAATTCAAGATAAAGTAAAAAGAAAAGTAGATGAGGAAGGTGAAGTATCTGATTCTGAAAGTAGCATTAGTGATAAGGAAGTCAAAGTAATCAAGGAAGATATCCATTATAAATATAGTGGAAAAAAACGTAGTCGTAGCAGTAGTAAAGATAAAAGTGACAAAAAAGTAAAAATTGACGATTTAAGAAATAAAATAAGAAATGATTATAAGTATAAAGAAAAAAATAGAGAAATCAATCTTAGCAAAGAAAAAGACCGATATAAAGATCACAGTAGTGATAAAGATTTTTATAAAGGCAGTTATCATAGTCGAAGGAGTGAAGACCATCGAAGTCGGAATAGAGACAGGGAACGAACAAGGGACCGGCATAGGGATTACAGATCCAGATCTCGAGAAAGGCATAAAGATTCTTATAGTAGAGAAATAGAGGATTACAAAAGAAATCGAAATAGAGATAGTTCTTTTTATAAGGATGATGGATTTTATAAATCTAGGGAGAAAGAAGACAGAGATGAAAAATCAACTGTTAGAGATAGGTAAGTAAAGATATTTGTTAGCAGCACGTCATATACATATGTATAAATCAGCAATTCCACTCCATTATCGGCTGTTTGGACTGAATGACCTTAGATAGAGAATTGTCAGTCAGGACCGTAATAAAAATTTTTATTTGTGCAAGAAAGTAATAAATAGAATTCAATGACCGTGATAAATATATAATTTATATAAACTTATACATTAGATTAGCTGAGTAGTACTCGAGTAAATTGTACTTATTGCACTGAGTACCTAAAATACTCGATATTGGGTGCTCATGCGTACTTTTATTTTGATGGTACAGAATACTTGAATTTTTAAGCAATTTGCAAATTTTTGAGTACTTGGAGACTCAGTGCTATTAATACATAAATCCGACGAGTACCAAGTACCAGAATTATAATACTTATAGAATGTACCTAAGCTGTTATTTTTTTATATACCTACTCTAATGTTGAAAATTTGTTACATTTAATATCCATATCACAATATCCATGTTTCTTTAACCATACTATGTTTTTTAAGGTATAGGGGATATAGTGAAAGGGACCGTAGACATAGATCAACCTCTAGAGATAGAGAAGGAACATCGAAATTTGATAAAAAGAAATTATTAGAAATTGCAAGAAAGAATGCAATAACTATGATGAAATCTGGCAGTCTACCAGGTGCACTTGCTCTAGGACCTCAGGCCCAAGAAAAAGTCATTGCCGCCATCAAATCAGGAGGGAAAACGATAGAGGAATTAACAGATTTTTGTAAAACTTTGTCAAAGAAAGAGGAATTAGGAGAATTATCCAGTTTATCAGAGAAGGAGGAGAGTGATAGCGAGACTGACAAACCATTTCATCATCCATTCCAAATTAAAGATAGGCCGACTTCTATTACAATGAATATTAAGGTAACACCAAGTTTTAATATCAGAATGGGGATGTCCCACTAATGTAAAAATGAATTTTATGTAGTATTATACAGAGTGTAACTTTAAGTGGGGGTCAGTTTTTTAGAGTTATCCCTGAATACAAATCCAAAATTCTTTTTTTTAATCAAATAAATGGTTGAATTATAATTAGTTTTTTAAAATGCACTTTAATTCTTGTGTCTTTTAAAATCTTTTAAGTTTTTAATACAAAAATATTTGTTACTATTTTTTTAAAGCACTGTGCTCAATTTGTGAATCTCAGGGTCAATAACTTCTGACATCGACCTAGTTTAGGTGAACTTCATAATATTATTCCGTCTGATATAAAGATGCTAGATGCACAAAAAGCAGCTAATGTTAATTAGGTGAAGGGAAAAATATATCACCGCTTTGTCTTATTAAATTTACTTTTGTTTTAATTAATTTTTAAATTTATCAGTTTATGAAAGTGGTGTATCTAATATGGTAGGTAATTTCGTGACTTTCTGCATTAAGTATAGTGTGTCTATACATGTTCATCAAATTTCTGCGTGATAAAAAAATATATACAAATCAAGAAAGATCAGATTTGACAGCAATGTATGATCTAGTCTGCATTCGCGGCTAGAGCCCATGATTTTTTGAAGCTATACTAACTATTAAAATGCGGAAGTAATTTAAAAAAATCTGTTTTTAGTTAGAATTAGAAAAAAGTGCAATATTATGCAAATCGATATTCACCGTTTACATTTGAAACTCGCGAATAAGAAGAATTTAGTAAAATTTCTCATTAAAAATACAAAAATTTTAGATTAATAAATTTTGTAATCCTTTCAAATAAACATGTAAAAAAATATGTGAGGCATGCCCATATTGGTTGAAACTTATCTCTTTCAGAATTCAGTCCCACTACCGCTAAAATCATCTGTGGAACGTACCAGTGAATTAAGAATGCAGTTTCCTGTTAGTAGTGGTCAGCAACACAGAAAAGGAGAGGAATGGCAGCCCGTATCACCCCCTTCTCAGAAAAAAGTAGAGGAGAAGGAAAAAACGATAGCTCCAGCCGTGACCACTACTACTACTGTAACTACCACTACCGCCGCTATTAGCATACCATTGCCTCTTGAAGCCCCTCCATTGCCGCCGGAACTCCCAGATATTTCGACATTCGATACTCCTGAGCCGATAACCGTACCTCCACCTCCTAATGCACCGCCGGGACCTCAAGCGTTTCCCACGCCGATGTTGGAGGTATTTAGTTGTCATTGAAATTTGTTTATTTTTTATCAAAACCAAAATTGTACGACTGCATTTGAAGGAAAATTTGTCATGCTGAAGGAGTAGATTTTTTTAAATTATGTATGTGGAAATAGTGTATAAAAACAGAATTTAATTAGCTGTTCTGTGACTGCTCCTTCAGAGTGGTTAATTAATTATTATTTTTTTAATGTAGGATATTAAAAATATTCCATAATATGGTTTACGATTAAAACAACTGGAATAAAGAAGCTGAATTAATATAAAAAAATTTTACAGCAAATTAAAGAAATCGATGAAATGGGCCTTTTCAATGAGTTAAAAAAAAATTGTTTTGATCAGAAAGCACAGAGAACATTTTGTTCTCGAGTTTTTGATAAAATTGTCATTAACATATTGCTGGTTTGAAAAGCTGTTTTATAAACCATTATCAAGTAATTTTATTTTGATGTTGCTTTATAAAATAATTTTAATTTTCAGTGTTGGTCAAACAACAAATCTTTCTGCATTAATTACACAGCCACACAAAAAAAAATAAATTGGCCTAGGGGATCTGACTATGTATACTATATGCTTTTGGAGTCGCTGAATCCGAATCTGATGCTTAATCCCAGCTCGTCAGGGTTTAGCCATAACCTCAAAAAACACTCCAAAATCCAGTAAAACCATTAAACCCGATAATCCCAAACGAATGTAAACCTAAAACCCGGTAACCAATCGACTCTTCAACTAAATTCATAACCCCATAACCTTATAATCTCAAACTTTATAACCCTGTAATAAAAATACTGAAACAGTATCGTACAATCCCCCACCGTGAAAATATTCCGTAGATTTCACAAAATTGCAGTCAAAGCCAACTTCAATGTGTACTCTTTTTTATTACTTGAGCTTTCGGAACAAATTATTCCTGCCTCAGGAGAAACTACAATGGAACACATCTTGTTGTTATAAATATGTGTTCCATTGTAGTTTCTCCTGAGGCAGGAATAATTTGTTCCGAAAGCTCGAGTAATAAAAAAGAGTACACATTTAACTTGGCTTTGACTGCATACCTGACTATACTTTAAGATTTTTTTCTTTAACTTAGACAGTCGTCTAATATTTTCGCAACTTAAATGAATATATAAATTAAAATAAATGAATGAATCAATAAATTATAAATAAATAAATATAAATTAATAAATATATGCATGAATCAATAAACGAATAAAATAATATAAAAACAAAGCTTTAGTCACTCTCTTTTTTTTTTGAACTGTATCGCGTTCTATTGTCTTCAAATGATCTGTGCAATGAAGTACGCTTTCGTTTCCGACTTTCCTTCGATTCTCTCTTTAGCGTCCAACAAAAATCAGCCATCGTGTTATCGCCCCATCCCCTGATAGTTTCACGGCGAAAGATTGTGCGATACTGTTTCAGTATTTTGATTATGGGATTATAGGGTTACGAATTTAGTTGACGAGTCGATGGGTTACCAGGTTTTAGGTTTACAATTGTTTGGGATTATCGGATTTAACGGTTTTAGTGGATTTTGGAGTGTTTTTTGAGGTTATGGCCAAATCCTGACGTGCTGGGATTAAACCTACCTCGGATTCAGATTCAGCGACAACAAAAACATATGGTATACATAGTCAGACCCCAGGCTGAAAATTTTTTTTGTGTGGCTGTGTTAGCTAATAACATCATTAACATTCATTAACTAATGAATATCATTTTTAAACAATTGTTTTTTTGTAGAAATTAATATTCTATCATATAAACATTTTACCACATCTTTCTTTTTATATATACATGATGATTTGCATTTAAATTTAAATACCTACCTAATAGTATTTGTTTGTTTTATATTTTCATAGAAAATACCATATGTTCAAGGTTTATTAGAAAATTAAAAAGAATTGGTAATGGGTTTAACCCTTTCGGTACTGATTTTATTTTTTCTAGTTACAGAAAATTTAATATTAAAAATATAGAATATACCTTATAATGGTCTTCTAATTTCATTTTTAGATTTTTTGAATATTTGGTTTTTGAAAAAATAATGCTGGACATATATGTCCCAATAGTGTTTTTCTTGGGACATGTGTCCCAATAGTCATGAAAACTAATTCAAAGTAAAATAAGAAATTTATTGTAATTTTTATTCATATATGAAAATAAATTTTTTCTAGAAGTAAATACAAAATCAACTAAACATTATTTTATATTATTTATGATATTTCAAAAAACATGTTTTACACAGACCAACATTACAGGTGATACAAATAGTTCGTGTTCTTTTTTCAATTTTGTTTTTGGCACAATATGAACACCTACGCCGGGATTTTCCTTCTGCTGGCAAATGGTCACCAATATTGAACATTGCCTTTGCTCTCAACGACGGTTTTCCTAGAAATAAAAAAAGCAATTGTAAAGAAAAAATTTCAGTATATTTACATAACTACCTGATATTATTCTTCGCTGAAATACTGCTCTCTCTTTGCCATATCCTATTAGGTGTTCGGCTAGGGTCACCAAGAAATCTATAAAAGGTATATTTTTGTGCTGTAGTTCTTGGTATACTATCAAACTGTTTGCTACAGCTGACATTAGCAGCTTCTGGAAAACTTTTTTCTAGCATTTATTAGATTTTCGGATTGGGTCATATAATGCTGAAAATTGGTCCGCGAGATCTACACCACCCATATAAGTGTTATAGAATGAAATTGCTTCTGGACAAGGAATTTTATTTTTTGAACCATCTTTCACAGTTCTATTCACTTTGGTAACTGAATTTTTATGACAATTACTTAGAACAAGAACTTCTTTAGTGTCTTGCCACTTTATGGCCAACGAACCAAAGTTATTGCATAATGCTTTGAAGTCTCCTCTTTGGCTAAGTTTATCTTCAAACTTCGGTACATCTCTGCAGTTTTTCGTACAGGTTCCAACACAAGGAAATTCTAACGTGTTTACTAATTCCACCGACGTAAAAAACCGGTCGCAACATATTGCCACATCTTTTCCCCTAATTGTGTGACATAGTTTTTTTACTACCCTTTCTCCCAGTGTTCCAGCATATTCGTTTTTAGGGCCCTCTTCTTTTCCATCATACACATTGAAGTCATAAACGTACCCTGTCTTAGAATCACAGCGCTGCCAGTTTTATTCCGCGTTTGATTGGCTTCAAAGGTAGGTACTGTATGAGGGAAGACCTACTTTTGAATTTTGCCATTGTTTCATCAATGCTTTGAAACGTGGCCTCTGAACGCACTCTCTGAAATGATGTCTTCAAACAGGAAACTAATTCGTCAACATATATTTTACTGGCACCATCTGGTTTATTTGGTTCATTGTAATACAGTTTTGAGGAAAGCATGAGCAATCTGTCTCTACCCATGGCCATTTTGATTGTTTGGTTCCCTAAAGAGGTGTTTTGTGACCAGTACATATGCACTTTTGGAACGCGATTGTAAGCCATAACCATCATGCAACCTACAAGGACCATTATTTCAAAGGGCTCTGTTTTTGGGATTACTTTATTCTTATTTTGTTCTAAGATTTCCAGCCTCTGGTTTGTACAATCCGAAATATACATAAAAAGACTTCTAGGAAATAGGTTGAGGAAAACATCTGAGGAACCACGTTTCAAGTCAGCGATTATGATGGCCTTTTTCTCAACTGGTATTTCTTTTCTAGGGAAAAAAAGATCATTGGCTTCTATCCAAACAACAGCTGCGGATACAGGTGACAAAACGTTTTCCTCCAAATTTTCCTCCTCAATTTCCTCTTCTACTGACTCGACGTTCCTTTTTCTTTTTGTCCTCACTCCTTGTACATTTTTTTGTTCTAGATCGTCATCGCTAGAGGAATCGCTGTTCTGAATATTTTGGGTATCACCATTCTCATCATGTAATGAGCTATTTACTTCCGCTTCAGACTCGTCAGTGTCAGGAATAAAATCAGAGCCACTATCTGTCACATATGGATCGTCAGGTTCTGATTCAAAATCAGACAAGTTATCGGCCAAGTATTGGAGTTCTTTTTCTGACAACGGTTTATTTCTTCTAAAAAACCATTGTACAATGACTTTACCAAATGGTTCTATTGGGACACATGTATCCCAATAAACAACACTATTGGGACACATACGTCCCAAACAAATATGCGCGCAGAATATTTATGTAATAAATGATTTTATTGAGTAAATGTATTATACACATTGCACCACAATCTAAATCAACATACTTGTTCATATTTATAATTATTATCCACTATTTGTACAATATAAAGTTGACAAAATATACTATGCACCTGCACTCGTGAATATTTTAGGTTAAAACCGGCGATCAGCTGATACAATTCCGCCATGAAATTATTAGGGGTATAGTGCGACCTCAGAACACTATTGGGATCGCGAACGGTGCATTTATAAAGGCTGTTGCGCCCATCAGTGATATGAAACGTCTGGGACATATGTCCCGTTAGTACCGAAAGGGTTAATATTAGAACAGTTTTCCAAAACAGCATAAGTTAAGCATAATTTTATAAAAAAAACTCCTCTGAAAAATAAGATACGAAAGCCTAAGCATTTTCAGTACACCTTTTGAATATAATAGAGTTTTAGGCCCGGTACTTTGAGTCTTGAAATAAAAATATAAGACCATTGAAATTTAATTAATGGATTTTGCACTTTGGTTCTTGTTAAATTAACAGACCTACCAACTCGCTGCTAAAGCTGATCGTTGAGTTAATCAACAATCGAATTTGACCAAATGGCATTCATTATTCCGTTAATTCAAATTTTAATTTCATAGTAGAGAAACAGATAATCTAATTTCACATAATTCTACCAAGTTTTGTGCTATTTTGAAATGGATCTTGATTTTGAGGACATTTTTGAAGACGATGACGAAGAATTAATTCAAATTATACGAGATTGATGAGATAATTGAAATAAATTGGATTGGGAATTATTTTAACAGATTTCTGCTAGGGAAAGTGACTGTTTATTTTGTAAGAAATTCAACATTTGTTACAACTTCTTGATTTTAAAGATTAGCAGGTAATTATAAGAAATCATGTTCAAAACAAAGTCGAAACGTCAAAATATCGCAACACACATTGAAGATTGAGGTTACAAATCTCTTGTTATAGCTCCATCACCATATCAGTGTAACGATCAGAAAAAATATTAAACTTCTATTTCTTGGTTTCTATCACATTTTATTACATAGATAAATATCCCTATCTCTGGTACTTTTATTTGTGAGCCTACCTTTGCAAATGTTTCTAGTCCGCCTTAATGGTACATTAAACTTAATGTTCTAATAAATGCAGCTCAAAGTACAGAAGTAAATAATATTAGATGATTATTCTTTAATCAAAACTAACTAATGCCCAATCAGGACTCAAAGTACCGGGCCTAAAAATGTTTAATTTGAGTGAGCTGTACTACCTCATTGTTGCACAACAGTCAGTAGAAAACAGATGTGTCATTCTGACAAAGAGCATACATTCACTCCTAAAACATTTATCTGTATATATTGCAGCCGGCTGTTGATATCGGCTCCATTGTTTCCCAAAGACTAACTGCCATGAGAAGATTCCAAGAGAATCCTAATGATGTACAGGCCCTTACCCAAATGTACAAATCAAACAAAGAAGTACGTAGCACAGATGAGTACTAAGTTGTATGGTTTATAACATATATTTTCTTTTTCAGATGCAGTCCTGGGCGACAAGCAAGCAACAGCTAGGACAGTTTACAGGTTCTACGGGAGCCCAAATTTTAACCCAAGCCCAATTGGCGTCTGGTTATCAAGCTTGGGCGAAAAAGGTATTATCACTTAAACTGAAAATTTCTTCCACAGGATCCCACAGAAATTTCCTATTTTCCAAACTGTCACTCCTTAAGATTTCTCCCACCCGCCTAAGACAAATTTTCAGGTTTGGATTGTTTCTAGATCTGGATATCTAGAAATTATTCAAACAGGCACAGACCATTTCTTGGTTAAGAGGTGGAATCTGTGCCTGTGCTGTTTGCAAGCTAGACGCAATTTTTTTTAAGCCAGTGCGATTATTATAAATGTTTGAAATATTTTATAGACTTATGGTAAATTTCCCTCAGCATGATATCAGTACTAATAAATTCTGTTTTTTCTTTTCCCATTTGTAAATTCACTCATCACGTTTAGATCATATCTACGTACAGAAATTGAAGTGTAACAAAAATATAAAATGATCTGTTTATAACTTTCGAATGATTGAAAAAATGCCCCTCATCTAACACAATATACAAGTTTTATAACTTTGCAACTGCACATATGAGAGCACTTGGATGATGACCCTGGAAATAGGCCCGTTTATCCTACTTTAGTGACATATCTTGGTAATCAGAAATCTTAGAGAAAGAATGAAGCAAAAGTCCTGTAGTGTGCCGTCAGGGGTGGTGAATCATGGCAATGGAACAGAAAAATGGGATGTTTAATAAGTTCTCGTTATTTTTTCGTAAAAATTATTGCCATATTTAAAAAAAATTAGTAAATAATGTGTCACTGTAAGTATTGTCCATCGCTAGCCACTATTTTCTCCCAGTGGCAGCTCGCCAGGTGACGAAAGTGACTCACTGCTACACCTAAAATTTCTGTTTGGTCGTGCAATTTAAAATTATTTTTAATTTTATGTAAATTTTATAATTTTGGTATAATTCTATATTGAAAATATATTGTTTGTTTGTTTTATACGCAGAAATAAACAGAATAGTTGTGCGGTCATTGTCTTTGTTGAGCGCAAACATAAACCTCGTACCATACAACGTATAGTATAAGCAAGTGATGCGGATTGAAATCAGTCTGTATTCGGCTTCTCTTCGTAGCGTTGTTTACAGTGGTTGTCATGGCAACGAGGTGGCCAACACGGGAGTAATACTACGTTGTGGGGGAACAAGTGATATGGAAATTGAAGCAGCATTATTTGTCATCGCCCACCGCGGCATCGCCTGCCTTTAAACAGTTTATACGATACGCCTCGGCCAGTGCACGATTATAACGGTTCTTTGTTAATATTTGTTTTGTATAATAGTTGTAGAAGTGTTTCCTATGTATGATCCAGTATGTTTTTTATTGGAAACGCCATTTTCCAGGTGGAAAATTGAGGACAAAATGGCTTTTTTAAATTGCGAGAGACCTGTGCCTTATTCTCTCGATATGGAAAAAGGGGAAAGTCAAAAGATAATGTGTACGTTCGGAAGTTTTGGAATGAATGGTATTGGGAGTATAAGTGGTTATGTGGAAGTGTTTATTTAAAAAAATTTTTCTGTATGCCGTGTTTAATTGTGGGTGTAAAGTCAGATGTGTGGAATAAGGAGGTAGTTATCAATTTTGGGAATGTCACGCGAGGCTGTCGTAACCACAAAGCTTCTTTGGAACATACATATACGGTGTGCATTGCGTTAATGTTCGCAGAAGTGCACAAGCCGAACTAATATTTCTATTTTTTACAAAATCTAAATTAAAATCCTTCTCGTGAACGTCAGTTTGTCGGTAATATTGCAAATGCAACTACAAACTTCCAGATTCATTTAAAGCCGTTTGACCTTGATGATTTTTTTTCGTTTCACCTATTCTCAATATCACGAGCCGCCACTATTTTCTCCCGTCTTTCTGAGAGCCGACCTATTTTTTGGCATCTTCATAAGAATGGAAGTGCCAGGCCATGTTCTATCGATTGATACAAGTGATAATTAGAAGGGCAATATGGTGGGTGGAGTAGGACTTCCCGGTTAAGCATTTCTGAGTAGGTTTTCATCGGTGGCTGAATGTTGCATGCTGCAAAATCACTTTGTCCTGTCTCTGCTCATGCTCAGCTGCCATTTTTTCTTCAATGCTCGGCTCAAACAATTGTAGTCGATAGCGATCTCTCGTGATGATTTCAATCGGTTTGAACAGCTCATAGTAAACTACTTGGAACCATGGATATTCGGCTTTGCCGAAGATATTGACACATGGCCACGCTTGCCCCATGATTTTCTATGCTTAGGATTATTGTAACATATCCATTTTTCATCGCCAATTGTTTTGTGATCAATGCCTAATGATTGTGTAAGTTCAGCTAAGTTCTGACATGAGTCTTCATGAAGTAATGTCTCCATTTTTCATCTTCAAACTGTTTCGGTGTGCCAACATTTTTTATCTTTAACATCAAAATTCATTATTATTGAAGCATCTAAACCAGGGGTCGGCAAGTAATTTTAGGTGGAGTCCGGATACTTTTTAAAATTTTTAACGAAGTCCAGAAAAAAAACTCATATTTCTTACAAATTTTTTATTTCAATTTGCACTCACAAAATAATATGAAATACAAAAGATAGGCATATTTGTATTCAAAAATCAATAGAAGAAATTATATGTGCGGTCTTGAGCCAGTTTTTTTTTTACTAACCTACTAACCATTAAAAAATGATAAATGTTTTGTTATCTACAGAAAAAAATATTTTTAAATAATTTGAGTAATTATATTTTAAAAAAATTTTTGGCAGTCCAGTTTTTTACCTTCCCCGGTCCGCCTGTTGCCGACCGCTGATCTAAACCAATCTCTACATATTGTTTGTAATAGAGCATGGTCACCGTAAGGCCCAACAAGAATTCTGTGTGCTTCAGCTGTAGATTTCTTTTGAATCAAATAGTGCAGTAAAATTCCCCACAATTTTTCGGCATGAAATTCGACATGTTTAACACTATGAAAATAGCAGTAGTTTGCACTTCGACAAAATAACATACACTGAATTTCAAGCTTTCTTAAGTATTTCTCTATAGGTGCATTACCATCTTAATCGCTTGCAGTTCTGGTGTCGCCTTCTGTTGGAAAACAGTGAGAACTTATTCAACGTCCCATTAGAAATAACCTGGGTGTTATGACTAAGCAAATGTTGTGTGTTTCTGAATTATTTTGTTGTGTTCTGTTTTTATTAAATATAGTCAAATTCTAAAATTAGTGAATTTTCGCCATTAGTGCTAAAATATTTCATAAAATAGATATAGGATGTTCCGGAAATAAATGCAAAAAATTTAAAAAGTGATAGGATAAGTTCCTATAATATTTTTTCGGAAACTCAATATTAACTGAGTTGCACAATCACATTTATAAATATTTCTAAAATTAATATTTTGCTCTATTTCTTTTTCAGTTGAACAATTATTTTCAAATTTGGAAATATTTTTATAACTTTTTTACTTGCGATTTAAAATAAAAATAAAATAGTGTTAAGGTCATTAAAAAATATTACAAAAAGTTACTCTTGCTCTAAGTTGATATGATTAATTGGTTTTGAGAAAAAAAAATATATGAAATTTAAAAATAATATACTGGCTCTTTAACTTTAAAGCCCAGGACAGACGCTCCGTTATGCGTACCAACTTACTTGCACAAACTTAAATTGTACAGCAAGACTAAATCGTCATTTGACCACTATCTATTCAGTTTTGTTGCATTAATTTGCGTTGTTATAAAAATCAATATGGCTGATGAGGTGTTATTGCGTGCGACTGCTCTTGCCGTTGTAGCAAGAAAAAGGAAAATAAATAAGAGAAACCGTTTCAAGACCATAGACTTGGCTTATACACATCTTCTGCATCCATACCAGAGTGCAATTTCCTAGTTGTCGTAAACTTTTCGAAATCAAGTGCGCAATTGATTCTTTTTATTACCGTCTCTTTATTGGCTGAGGAAACTACCTCTTTTAACTTTTCTATTAGTATCTCTTACGCAGCATATTTTGTGTCTGTCCGAATTCTCTTTGGATTTTACATTTCCAAGGCATGGATTTTCCCTGTATCGGGTATAGATTAATGCAATTTGTGAGGAACTCTCTCGACATTAGCTGTAGGTCCAAAATATTTTAATTCAATAATTTAAATTGATATTACCTACTAATTTTAATATATGTACAACGAATTTTACTGCTCGTTAAAAACAAGAAGACTACATATAAGTTGCAAGATCCGTCAGATATTGCAACTTGTCTGTACACAGCGAAAATATCTGGCAGGTTTGATTTCACTCAAATCCAACAATTGTCTGTACAGATTTGATAAGTCTGCCAACTTATCAGCACTAACGCAACAACTAAACAACTAAAGTTTACACATGCAAGTTGATGTGCGTGACAGAGCGTCTATCCCGGGCTTAACACAAAACAAGTACGTTTTTTTCTGAAACAGTTACTTGGAACAAGATGTTGTAAGATTTTTTAATGGTTTTTATTAGCAGGTTATTTAATTTTTTGAAAAACTGCGTATAAGAAAATTATAATTCATTTTGTGAGGTTGGAGTTCAGGTAACCTAACCAACAATGGTTTGTAGAGATGTCAAATATGATTACTTTAGAGTAATCATAAGTACCGATTACTTTCAGTATAAGTAACTTTGTATTCGTTACTTTGATTACTATGAGTAGTGTCTTCAAAATATTCTAAATAGAATAGTAATCAGTAATTACCTAATTGATATACAGTACTGTAAGTTCTAGACGAGTAAATATCAAAACGCATCATATTATGAATATAATCTAACCTCAATTTCTCTTAAAAAAGACATGCAGTGTTAATATCTGAAATATTAAGGTTTCTTTGATAAAAAAAATAATAAATAAATAACGAATATAAATATATATTTTGAAAATAAACAATCTGTTTTAAAATAAACAAAAATAGAAAGTACATATTATTTTTTAGATCATGTATTATATACACAGTCTTATGCATGTTTTCTGTCTTTTATAGGAAATATTTTTTTTAATATAAGTAGGTATAAAAATATAGTACATAAAACAAATAAAAC